TGGGTAGGCACATCAAAGAATCGAATCAGGGAATATGACAACAAACTCAGCACTCACCATTAAAAGAGCGTGCTCTACACAAGTTGGCCCCTGCCAGCATCCTTCTGAAATAGGTGTTTAAGCAAGGCTCTGCAGGATCAGTATCAAGTTCAGATATGTGTAACTGTCTCCATCTGGAAATAAATACAGGTAAAATATTTTCTGAAAAAGGTTGAAAGAATGGAAAATAACAGTAGGGTTAAAGTGGTTGTGCAGAACAGTTTCAGATTCTGGTCACATGAAATGCATCACCTTTTTCATACAGTCAAACTACAAGGTGAGAAAACTTGAAATAAGGTCTGCAGGGATCACCTGGGGAAGAGGGACATCTCCAGGCACCCACTCACTCTAAAGAATGATCAAGCAGCCCAACACAAATTCCAAGGATGATGCTGAGACCTGATGGACTAACGCAGCCCATGGATGTTAGGAATTTAATGGCCTGGGCTTTATGAAGTCTGGACACAATGACATAATTATCCTTCCTGCCTTCACCATTGGGAACAGTATCTCTAGCAGAAGGGCTTGCTTCCATAGTGCAAATGGCAACCCTTTCAAGTACAATTGTTGTGGAAGCTCTGGTTGTGCAGGCATAGCAACACAATCTAACACATCAGGTCCCATTTCTTGGCAGTATGCTCACAACTTTAACCCCACATCTAAATGCAGCACCAACCCCAGGTATGCCCAAAGATAACCTCTCTTTTTATCAAATCCTTGTAACAGTTCTCTTGAGAGAACTCCTCTTTGCCACCAAAATTTTCAGTTGTTCCATTATACCTAGGAAGAATTCCATATTGTGGCATCCCACCCTTCAGGAGAAGGGAGCATCTAAGATTCACAGATGCTTGTGGACAAGAGAAACAGCAAGAGGGCACACAAAATCTTACAGAGTTCTATTAGTAAATTATACACTCTGCATGGAAACTGTTATGTTAATCTCTGACGTCCTATAAGCACATGGCAGTGGGTTTAGGATAAAGGAGGGAGGTCAAAGGGAAGAGAGAAAGAGACACGTATTAAAGAGGAGGAGAAGGGAAGGGACAAAGCGAGAGAGAGAGAGATCAGCGGTCCTGGCTCCATCATTGATGCAGCTGATGGGGTGTGCAGGGTGCTGGGGTACACACACAGGGTCCTGGGCTTTGTGGGGGTACCTTTTTATAGATGAGTTTCCCTCCACTGGAGGTAAATTTCTCCCTTTCTGTGTAATTTAGTTACTGTGGAACTGGGTTGGAGGCTTCGGGGTATTTGGTTGTCTCCATATCCTCCTACAGCCCATGCCTGATTCTTGACCTCATTCCTACACTTGTGCTGTGTTGTGTTGTACTTATCTCCAGGAGCCAGGGCAAGGATGTGTGTTCCAGAATGTGCTGCTCTACTTCCATGTGGCCCCTTCCCCAGCCACATTCTGTTCACTCTCCCAGTGTGCTTTTACTAACAATCCTTGGCTGTTACAGCCAACAATCCTTGGTTGGCTCCACAGCCACATGGCTATCAGTATTTGAGATTAGCCCCATTATCTTCTGGGCTTCTACACAAATTCTCTGCAAACTCAACTCAAAGCTGAAAGTTAAGATAGGTGTCTTTATATTGAGCCTTACCCTTGCAGAGCTTGTGTACCTGGATTATGTTGACTCTCTGAAGCTAGTGCAATGTATTTTAGAAAATGTAGTGTTGTTGAAGAGGTGTCATCAGGGTCAGGGCTGTGAGACCAGTTTGCAATGAAGAGCAATGTTTTATTAGATCAAGTGATGTAAAAAAGAAAAAACAGGGCACAAAGAAAATAAAAACTTCAAAACAAATAGCAAAAAACTGCTCTGAACTTCAGCTCAGTCAGATCAATTGTCCAATAAGCCTGATGGGGGGAAGGGTTGGTAGTGTGGAAAGTGGGATAGAGCATTAGGAACAGGGAAGACAGTACCACCATGAGCTTGTTAAGAAGATACGGTTTTACTGCAACACAGAAGTAGAACTCCTGAACTAGGAACAGGGTGATATTCTTAACACAAGCAGTTTTCCCCTCACAAATATTAAAGGCAAGGAGAATGCCAAAGCACCAGAACAGTGGTGTCCTGCCTGTGGTATATTAACTGCAGCCTATTTCAGAAATCTGAAGAAAGTGACTGAGAAAAGCCATCCTGCAGTAAGCTGAAATAGCCTATCTGGATTTGCACCTGCACCAGATTGTTTTTTTACTGGCTGGAAAACCAAAGAGGTTGCAAATCTTTGTAACAACAGATAAGAATCCTGACAAAGGCAGTAGGTAGAATTTGCATGCCAGGCCTGGTCAAACCTTTGCAGTGTTCAATGCAGGGTCTTCTCTCCAAGTCTGATGTACTGAATCACAGGATCATTTAGGTTGGAAAAGACACCTGAGAGCGAGTCCATTCTGTGATTGATCAGCAACTTGGCAATTAGAACAGAGCACTAAGTATCACATCCAGCCATTTGAAAGAACACTTCTACCATCTCCCTGAGCAGTCCATTCAAATGCTTCACTACCTTTCAGTGAAGAAATTCCCCCAATCAGGGGTAATATTTGGAGCGAGGGTCTTTGTTCCTAAGCCTCCAACATTTTATTCCTTTAGGTCTCTGAAGCTTTGCCATGTAATATGCCATTTTTTCATTTATATTTATTCCATGTACAGCAGAAACAGTCTACAACACTTTGGTCCTGGTATGCTTGCTTAGTTTTCTCCCATTCAAAATGCTCTTGTGTAGAAACTGACAGTGGTCAATAAGTGATTTTTAGGCTTCAGGCACTAGCTTGAGCCTGTGGGAAAGTCAAGTACACAACTTTCTCACTCTGGCCTGGGAAATCATCAGGGGGATTTCAGTCCTTAGAGAAGGAAAACAACCTTTGCAGGTGTTGTCTGTCTCCTTGTTTTCTTGCAAGAAATAGTCGAGGGTGTTGTTCCTAACTGTCCAATGATGGTGATGTGTTAGTTTGATGACCAATGAGAGTTTTACCTTTTCGGACCTTCTTGGAACTGTCTGTAAAAGAAGATCTGCAAGAATAAAATGTGCTCTCTCTTTGCCACTAAGCTGAGAGTCTATGTCGTCACTGTTGCCGCTCCTAATACAGTGTGACACTCTCAGGCTGGATTCTGTGCAATTTTCAGAGACACATTCCAGCTGGCACTATACCATCTGACAACAGCATCTCAAGAGCTCTCAGCCTTTGTTGTTTCATGCTGCACATCAAATTTCCATCTTGATTATCAAAGGATTGCCAAGCCATGATGGAAGAATACTAATAATACTGATTAAATCCACACAGATTATGGAGCTGCAGACATGTTTGTCACAAAGCTTGTGAAACTTTGTTTACAGATGTAATTAACTGTCCCCCTGCAATAGTAATAAAATAAAATATCCACAGCTGCATCAAGAAAATCAACAATACCTGTGCACTGTTTGGTCTGAATTTCAATTTTGTTCAAAGGAGCCTCTATCTTACCAAGAAAAAATGGGAACAGGGAGATCTTGCAGCTCCTCAGCAGCAGGATCTGTTGTAGTTCCTGTCCACCTATGCAGTAGCTGTCAAGGATGCAGACTGGCTAAATCTATCTGCTCTACACAGAAAAGGCAGAAGCATGAAAAACAGCAGTTAATTTTCAGATACTGTTTAGGGTAAAATCAGATTTTATGCCCTTTCTGCTTACATGGAGAATATGGGTTCAAGGGATGAGCAAACAACAGTACAGGATATCAGACCACAGCAAAGGTCAAGGACCATGGGACATCATCACTGGTGGCACCAGGAGCTGAACACTCTGACTATCACCTTCACCAGCCCTGCCTGCTCAGCACCAAGCAGGGACCAACTTCCACACAGGCTAAGTAAGCCTAGCTTTAACATGCCTTGCAATGATACCCAAAGGGTAAGGACCACTGCATTTTGGGCAACCAGAGGTGCTGTACACAATGGAAAAAATGCACAGCAGGAAAAAGCCTAAATGGAAGAAATGTTTTAGTTTTTTGGTGTTTTTTTCCTCCTCCTGACCCACAACTCAAAACTCCTCATCTCAGGGAGTCAAGTTGTATTGACTATCCTTTCTTGCCATCTGTCCCGTCATCACCGAGTTTAGGCTGCCAGAAACTGCACCAAGTTCTCTAATACATTTCTACTGTGCCAACCCCTCCCTGTTCTCCCAGGGAGAATCCCCACTATGCTTTGAGTTTCTCCTCCTGTAGTGCAGCTATTTTTTGTCCTGGATTTCTCCTTGTCAACAGGGTGCCTCCCTGTGTCCAGCCTTGCAAGAGGAGACGATTACATTACTGTAAGTGCAGAACTGGTTCCAAAATGCCCTGTTCCTAAGCCATGGGGTTCCCTCAAGGGGCCCGGTCATGGTAGGGTTCAGGGGGTCCCTCACGCGGTCCCTGACAGGGCTTCTCACAGGAATCCTCGCATGGGCTCTCATGGGGTCTCTCGGGGCGTTCTTCGAGACCACTCCTCTGGTAACTCCCGCGACCCCTCCAGGGGCACTTCTGGGTGTCCTTTACCGGGGTCCCTGGGGAGAACCCTCACACGGTCCCCGGGACGGGGAACCTCACAGCCTCCCTCACAGCCTCCCTCACAGCCTCCCGCACAGCCTCCCTCACAGCCTCCCTCACAGCCTCCCTCACAGCCTCCCTCACAGCCTCCCTCACAGCCTCCCTCACGCCCCCATGGGCGGGGCTCCGCTGGCCCACCCCTTCCCCCGCCCCGCGCGCGCCGAGTGCGGGGTGGGGTCCCGGTCACGTGAAGGCGAAAGGAAGGGGCGGCCTTTCCCTCTGCGCGCTCTGCTCACGTGGTCACCGGGAGGGGGCGGGAGGCAGAGGCGGAAGAAGGCGCCGGTGAATGGGCGCGCGCTGGCGGTGCGTGAGGGGCGCGGGGAGGGGCTGCGCTGGAGCGCGTCGCGTCTCGTCACGTCACGTTGGGGGCGGGGGAAACGACGCCGCGCGCGCGTGGAGGAGGAGGAAGGGGGAGGTCACGTGACGGTCGCGGGCGCCGCCGCCGCCGCTTTGTGAGCGCACTGGGCAGGTACCGCGCGCGCGGGGGGCGCGCGGGGCCCCTCTCACCCGCCCCCGGCCAACGGTCCCCGCGCGCGGCCGCTCCCCCCTCACCCGCCCCCGAGGCCCTGCGGGCCCGGCCGCGCTTTGTCCGGCCGGCGGTCCGTCGGTCCGCGGGTCGGTCGGTGTCCGCCCGGGCCGCCCAGCCCCGGGCCGCCCGCCGGCGGGTTGCGGGGGGACGCGGCTTTGCCCTACTTTCCGTAGCGGCCGCCCCAGGGAAGCTTCGCCCTGGCCTAGATCGCCTTTTCCCCCCTCCGCCCCCCTCCTCTCTCGCTCAGCAGGGCCGCGGGTGTGGGTAGCGCCCACCTGGCTGGGGAGGGGGAACCCGCTTGGCCCCGGGAGAGGTGGGTTCTCTCTGCAGCCCCTGACAGCCGCGGGAGGGGGTCCTGCATCCCGTCCGCCTTCGAGGAGGGGTTTCACCTCGTCTTGGAGGTGCTCGTCTCCTTCACCGGGGGTTTCCTTCTGGCGGGTTGGTGCCTCTAGCTCGGGGGGATGTGAGGAAAGCGGGACTAGCTGGACCCCGCAGATGAGGAGTGGGGCTGGCGGCAGGAGTCAGGCCAGAGGGGAGGTGGCTGTTCGAGAAGTGAACAAGTGGATGATGAAGTATTGATCCATGACTTAACGCAGGGCTCTACTTCCATGTTGTGGCTGCTCATCCCGTTCCCGGGTATTCCCTCGCTGGTGGTGGGGGGGTCACAGCTACAGACAATAAGATCTCAGCAACTACAGTGGGTTACTTGAGGACATGACAATGAATGAACTAGTCCCTCTCTTAACCTTCTCTACCTTAGTCCTTCCTTTCCTTCGAATGTGCATGCTTGCTTGGAACTGGGTGTCACAGCAGGGTTTTGCTATTGGTCTGACTTACCTTGCCTTTAAAAACAACAAAAAGAAGCTCTTCTGCGTGTTCTCCTGTTGCTGAAAAAAATTGCAGCAGCAAAGTGAAGTGGTAGGCATTCCCGTGCAAGAAGCCAGATGGAGAAAGGACCTGGTGCATGTTTTGAGTCTTATGGCAAGGATCTGAACCCTCTGATGTGCAGTAGGTTTAAAAGCTTGTGCTGGAATGTCTGCAGCGCTATTGGGTGCCACCTGGGAGCAGGGTGGACTGGTTTGAAGCTTCTCTCTTGTAAGCGTGTTAGCACCAGGAGTATGGATGAGCAGAGCACCCTTGGTTGTGTTCAGAGGAACGGGATGTTTTGTGGAGCAGAAGCTCGGGGTTTGCTACATAGCTGTGTGAAGGCTGTGGGAGGGGAATGGAGGGGCTGTCCTGGCTTGAGAGCAGCTGTTTTTTTCCAAGTAGAGAAATTGGAGCTGCATGTGAGGGAAATGAAGGGAGGGGGAGCAGTACTTGCCGTTGAAACAGAGCCCTTCACAAAAAATGGCAGCGACTCAGCCTCCTGGCTTTTGCTTCCTTAATATTTACCAGGCCCTTTCAGCAATTCCTTTGGTTGTATCATGTTCTCTAATGGAATCTGGGTTTGGATTCCTACCTGTCTGACTCAGAATTTATACCTGGACCCAGTCTGTCTGTGGGGTTTGACCTAACTTGTTTAAAGAATTTATTTTTAACTTTACACTAGGTAACTTGAAAGCAAGCAAAGCCAAACCACTTCGTAGGATTAATGATGTTTTGTGACTCTTGAAAATGAGGTGGCTTCTGTGTTTATAACCTCAATAACTTGGAGGTGGGGAGGAGTGGGAATTGAACAAGCTCTGTTCTACTTTGTTCTAGTTGTAGTCTTATCAGTGTGTTGATTTTGAAAACTATCTATAGTAAAAAAAGCATGACATTTCTGAAATTTTGACTGCTTCAGTTATTTTGGCCCATCCTCCATAAAGCTCCTGGTGCCATGACTTGCAAACGGGTTTGATCATTTGAGGGGTTGTGGAAACTACAGAGTCACTAAAATCTAAGGAAGCTCAGGGGAAAACCAACCAAATAATCTTGTTTGCTACCAGAAGCTGTTATTTTTAAACTTTTTTTTTTTTGTTTGGCTCTTCCATTTTTTTGAAGTTGTAGTTCTAGAACCTAGAAGTAGACTGTTGATGCTCTATATTTCTTCCATGAACTTTTATTTTAGATGATGATTTCCTTGTAAAATGCCATTTTTTGGTGTGCTTCATGTTTGTTGATGGTGTTGTCCTATTGGTATTGGTCACAGCAGAGTAACATGCTGATGAACAGTGCTTGAAAAGTGTATGTGTCATATACTGTTAATGCTTTATTAATAATCAGCACTGAGAGGTGCTGATTATTAATATATATATTATGGTGTATTATTTATGTATACTTATAGTTTCAGTCACATTTAGTATCAGTACTTAGAATAGGTACTTCATGAAAGACTAGGAGTAAAACTTTGGATCTCTTATGAATCTTTTCATTTATCTCTGTTTCTTATTTGGTGGAAGCACATGGGCAGGACTATGAAGACCCAAGTTCAGTGCTTTGCCACAGCTTTGTATGACCTTCCTGAAAGGGAAACCAAGTGACTTGTCCCCTTTGTAAAATACAGATTAAAGAAACCGTGTTGTATTTGTAGACTTCAGAATTATTGAATGGAAGGTGCTAGTGGAAATACAACTGATATCCACTGCAGTGTTGTTATTCTGCTAGAGCATTTGGTGAATTTTAGGTTTATTTCTGATACAATCTGTTTACTTGTAGCCCATTGGGTTCTCTGTGCTTTTCAGAGAAGACCTAGTTTCGACTTGCACTGTTTTTCATATAACTTCCCTAAACAGGTTACATTCATTAAAGTGAGAGCTGGGATGAAAGGTTGTGAAATGCCTCCTTTGCAATTACTTCAGGTTCATATTTTACAAAAACTGTACAAAGGGTTTGTCTGTTTTGCTCTAACATGAAAGTCCACACTCTTTGATTTTGGCCATCTGCACTGGGAGTCTGTTGGAACTCCCCATCCGCCTGGGGCTCCTGCAAGGCTGTTCATTCCACAGGTGTGGTACCCTCAGCCCTTCTCATTACTTCTCAATGCTTCAAGGAGTAAATAGGGACTGCAGACAGGCAGTTTAGAGGTGGTATGGTCTGATGCTGAAAATCTCATGGCTTGCTCAGCCTGCTTTTACTACATCATAAATATTTTGCTGAGCATATTGTTTTACTTGCATGCTTTTTAGGTTGTAAAACCTGTAAAATGGGTTATGCGAACAACTTTGTGCAGTTCCTTTGGATGGAATTGTTTCTGTTCTCAATGCTATTGAAATTATATTTCCTTTTGTCCAGCTGTCCTTGGGAACCTGCACAATATTGTGGCTTCTTTTGAAGGTAAAACTGTCAAGCTTTTATCCCCTCTGTCCCCAGGCTTCTTAAATCAGTCTTCCAGCAGATGAGCTTGGAGGAATCCTTAACCTAGCTGAGTGTAGCATTTTGCATTAAAAACAATGAAATGTTTCCCATGTTGAGAGGGCTTTGATCTTTCTTAAGGTTTGCCTGAAGTAATAATCCTATGGTGAACTTCATGGTTTTGTTTTTCTGCTATATCATACAGGAAATGCAGTTTATTGCTGTAGAAGATGTTCAGTGGAGTTGGTGCTACAGAATTATTCAGTATGTGAATCTACAATTAAATGTAGAAAACACAAATACTTCGTTAATCTCCAGATTTGAATCATCAGGTTGCACTTTTTAAAACTGTTTCAGTGAGGGGAAAAATGCTTACCTCAGTCTGTTAGGTGACCCTGTGGTTGAAGGTGTAGGATTTGAATTCACTAGTTATGACCATGTTCCTAAACATTTTTAATGGTTAGCTGTAGAGAGGAAGTCTTTGTGCAGTTTTCTTGCATCTAGCATTGGTTTAATCTAGAACATTTCATTGGTATTTCTTATGATTCAAGTAGTGTTTCTGGAAGTAGGATGATACTTTAGAGACCATACTGAGATTGCTTTTGAGAAGGAAAGCATAGTATTTGTTTCTTCTCCATTTGTTTTGTTTAGTGGTTTGAGGATGATGGATATATAGTAATATGGAATGAAGTATATGGCTTAGGAAGCTTTTTGCTTCTGGTTTCAGTTTGTTTTTAAATGTTAACTGAATTGTGGCTATTTTGTCCTCAATGCTTGGCTTTGTACTGTTTCATTGTTTATGTTTATCCATATTTGAAAGCTATTTGCTGATATATTTTTTCTCTGCTCTTCTTTGATTTTCAAAATCTTAATGTTTTACACACAATTTCAGCAACAGGAATCCTGGTACCAAACCTTGCAGTGCTGTTGGGCCGTACAGAATATATGGTATTCAATAAACCGTGGTCCATGCGTTTGATGGGTTGTTCCCCAAGGGGTGGATGTCTGCTTTTACTTCAGCTTTCAGTCACAGATTCCCAAGATCACTGATTTGTGATCCATATTTGAGGCTGACATAAGAGAGACCTAAGTTAGTGATGTTAACTTTGGGTGACTAAGTGTGATGAGGGGGAACAGTACTGCACTTCCTAGTCTTGTGCTTCACTTTCTTTTATCAGCCACTGAATAAATTTCTGAATGTTTTGAATGTGGGGTAAGTGCCAAGGGGTAGCTGTCTGAGATTAGTTTTAGAGAAAGATTGAAATAGACTTATGAGGTTGGTCAGGCTAAGTTAATAAGTATGTAAAAGTGTTTGTTTTTTCCTTTGTGCTTGAGAAAGCGGTTTCTGATACAAGTCTTCATCCTGTTGGGTTTCTTTGTTGTTTCTTGACGTCCAGATTAGCAGCAATGCCCAGAAACTATTCTGTGCATCTTAGAAAAAGATGCTTATTATGTCTTTTGAATAGTTCTGTGTTATAACTGCAAGTATAAAACTAATTTCAACTTCTTACCTGTACTCCTGTTTTTGTTGTTTATAATTTTATTTGTTGCTGTAGTAGTGTATTTTTCTAGGTTTTTGTCCCAATGACTTTTAGCTGACCTGGTTTAATTGAAGATTCCCTTGATTTTCTCTATGTTACTGTTGGAGCAGAAATGCTACAGCTTAA